GGTCGTCCACACCCTCACTTCCTATCAGGATGAACTTCAGCAAGCTCTTCGTCCTCACGATCCTGACCGCTCCACCGCAGCCTCCTCTGCCCCCGCAGGGCAAACTTCTTTGACTGACCCCGTCACGAGCGGCACTGGACTCCCGCTCCCCCCACCTGATTCGGGCTCTATGTCACTGAATTCCTCCTCCACAAATACTCAGCCTACTCTGGACCCTCCGTTTCCTGCCGAACGAGCCCATGACTGATCATCATTCTTTCGAGCTAAGCTGCTGTTTCCCATCCTTTCAGGTTGAGGCCGTACGAGCTTCCCTACATCTTTGGATCCCCTTCGCGACGATTGGAAAAGTGCTCGCCACCTTTTCTCGGATGTTTCTTTTGCCTTTCCTTTTTTCTCTTTTCTCTTTTCCTGACACCACAAACGTTCTGACCCCTCGCAGACGTTGGCTCTTACTGTTCATCGTTCCCATCACTTTAGTATCCGTCGTTTCCGCCGTTACTCGCGATGATCTCTTCACCTGGCCTTCGTGTACCTGAACCTTTGACGCAAATGATCCCTACCTCACGCACTTCCTGGCGGGAAGTTCGTCAGCCTTTTGAAACCTTGGATATGGTTCCTGACCTTTCCACCGTCCGCTTCGAATTGGACACCAGCTTGCTTGTCTATCAACCACTTAACTACATCACTGCGACCCTCGACAGGCAGCAGATTGAAACTAAGGAGTACACGGTCGATGATCTCAAAGATGTGATCTATTCCCGCTTAGGTCAACACCGCACCGCCTTCTGGATGGCCCTCCCCTCTACCGGTGACTCACGAGTTTGGGAAACACACTTGCACTCTTGAGGATCTCGTCCTCTACTACGTCAACTCTCGACGAATTCGCCCTTTGGGGATTGCCAGTGAATACCCCCGGGATTCCACTCCTTTCCCCTATCGACCTCTCCACACTGTCGCTCCTCGACTACACGATGATGCCATATTTGTCAACTTCGATTACCTCTGACCGCCTATCAAACTTATCGAGAGATTCGTCATTTTACCTAGTCTCACCCCACCTTCGGCGCGGAGCTTAAACCTTGCCTCGGGGAGGCGTGTGTGTGTGTGTAACCCTTGGAATCACAGGGATCCTTTCGGATTGTTTTGCTTTGTTCCAAGAACCTCGCAGACTTGATGTTTTCTTTGCACTGCAGATGTGAGCGGACGACGTCATTCTGTCGGTCGATCGTTCGGTGGTTCCTTTAACTTTACTGGCCATGCTGAACTTGATGGACCTCCACTTCCTTTTCAGGCCTCCTTACCCGTACTCTTAGGAAATGGAACCCTAGGCCGGCGTGTGGCACCGCTGTCAAGTCAGTACGCATATCCATAAGTGTGTGTGTATGTGTGTAACCTTTGGATTCACAATGGCTCCTTTTGGAGTTTTCGCTTTGATTTGTTTTTCGTCAGCAGGGGAGCGGTGGGCATTCTTGAAGTCACCGCTCAACGAAGACACTTCAAGCTAGTTTTGCTGTGATATGCAATCTGGACGCAGATTGCGCGTACCTGCGAGAAGATGATGAACACATTGACACTAGTGGTCCGCCCTGGCTCAGGCTGTTTGCAGGTCTTCTCAGGTTGCGGTAAAGTGCTAATGAGCTAATGCATTTGCAGTCACTCACGAACTGGCACGAACGTCGTCAACCTGTCGCGTGAACGTTGGAGCTTTTGGCTTTGATGGCCTTTGAACATTGATGGACCTCCACTTCTTTTCAGGTTTCTCTCCTGTTCCCTCAGGACAACCGCTTTCAGTTCCGTACGCAAAATCATAAGTGTGTGTGGCCTCGTGCCAGCCCAGGTTGAGCCCGCAGAGTGCCCCCTGTGGACCCGTTGAACGGGGGTTTGTCAAACGTATCCCGTGCCCGGATACAAAGCTGCCCACAGCGAGCGTAGGTGGCCTAGGCCGAGAGAACTCAGATTTTTGTCGAATTCTTGAATTCCAATGCCTTTACGTGACCGCAGCGGTCTAAGCAGCCAGCCACTTTGGCAGGGCACAAGGTGACCACAGCGGTCAAGGATTTTTTGAGGTTCGTTGGAACCTGCCGAAACTCAGGTGCACACACAGCGTATACTCATGAACGAGGCGACGTTCTCCTAGGTGGTTTTGGTGAGGTTTGGTTTCGTTGGTTTCTGTCCCCTTCTTTTAGTTTCCCCTCTCATCCTTTCCCCTTCACACACTTCTGTTCTCCTCTTTTCTTTCATGTCCTCCTGTCTTCATGTCTTTCATCTCATCCTTTCTTTCACATTGGTCCCGGCCCTAGCGTGTACGTGCACAACTACATGTACTTTAAACCCAGGTTTTAGGTCGCCCAGGTCTTGATAATGAGGTGGGTTTCATTGTTTGTCCCTGTGCACTTGTTTCCCCTTTCAGCACAACCACCTACACCTTTGCCCCGTCCCGTCCTCCTGTCATGTCTTCATTCTTTTGTCTTTCGCGCACGCACATGCACTTGCGTTCTGACCTTAGTATTTTCGGCCCCCCCTCGGGGCGGGCGTGTGTGTGTGTGTGTGTCCACCCCTGGACAAAGGGTTTTCCACCGCTACTCCTTCCACGGTTTTTCAACCACCTTTTTCGAACACCTTCTACAGGCAGGGGGGCAGAGAGGACTTGCAAGGCTCTGCCCAACGAAGCTCCTTGCAAGATCCTAGGATGCGGAAGCTGATCACTTCCGTGTACCTGCAACCGGAACGTTTGACCAAGCTGTGACTCCACTCTCCTAAATTTTTGATTCATGGTTCTTCACGTTTCCACCCCGAAACCTTTTTCCACCGCAGACGTGCAGCCGCGTTTGATCGTTTTGCAGCCACATTTGAACGTTTGAGTGCACTTGTGAACAATGTTCAACAATACGTTTCAGCGGACCTTGCCACCTTGCCGTTCCCTCACCTTTCTTCTCAGCGTGGGAATTGAGTCACTGAATACAAGTGTCAGAGTGTGTTTCGCTCAGCCGTCCCACTCGGGTGCTGAGTGTGATCCCCGTCACAGGGGCGCGGTTTTTCACCTCGGTAAGCAACCAACCCAACATGCCACCTCTCACCGGATTTCCACTGGAAGTCATTGACACACCCTTTGAATCAACAGCTGCATTGGCCGCCGGGCCTAAACACGGTAACTTACTCTTCCACCAGCTTTCGGATCAGACAGCCGCCGGGCTATAAAACGGTGCCTTGAAAAAAACCCAATGAGGCAGGTTCCCC